GCCCACCAAATTATTTAAGTAACGTGATGAGATCAATATAATAATCCAAGTACCAGAGACTCAAGATGTCCATAACCGGGAACACGGCTAACCATGATTAGTTTGTACACTCTGTAGAGGTTTGCGCACTTTTCCCCACAAGACTCGATCTCCTCCGTTGGATTTCTCGCACTACATGGTGTTTGAGAAAAGGATGACCGAGACACAGTCTTTCAGAAGCATTAACTCTCTACTCCGGGTAGACTATACCACCTGCAACCCACTACCTGCTAGTCTACCTTTTCAAGAGCTTCACGCAACTTACTCAACTATGCTAGAGCCCATAATAGCTTGTGGCTGCACACAGAAGTTTCTAGCATGAATAGTCTTATGATCCCTTTGAGCCTGGGTGGCATTCCATAGGGTGATCACACGGGTCCTTTGGGATCCCCTTGGGCAAACACTGGGTTCTCCAGGTGCCCCAACCAATCCACCCAGATGTGTATTAAAGTAGCCACCTTAAGATAACCATTAAATAATAACTCTCACATCTGTCATGAAATCTCTCAAACCAATACACATTTATGAGCATAGCATATCAATATGAGCATAACGGAAAAGTAACTCCCAGGGTTTGAATGTAGGGCAATAGGTTCCTACCTCATCAACTACTTCCCGATACCCACATGTTATCAATTCCTAACCATGCAATGTTTGAGGGTGAAACTAATGCATAAAAACTGGGTATGAAAGGGATATGATCAAAGTGTGAACTTGCCTGTACTGTTGATGAAGATGATTCGCACTCAAAACTCTTGACAGTTCTACTCGTCACACTCCGGTCAATCTATCGTAGGCAAGCAATAGTAACCACACATACGCAATCACCCAAAAGCTCGAAAAGAACAAAGAACAATTCAGAAAACATCAAAACCAAACAAATAACTCTTGCAACATAAAGCAATTTCTAACAGTACCAAAATTATGTGAGTTTGGCCTTATTAGAAAGTTTAGGTCAAGAGCTTCGATTTGCAAAAAGAATCCACTCAAACGGAGCTACTAAACTCAAGTTATGATCAAATGAAGTTTGAATTCAAATCTGATCTAATTCAAATTTTATAATTTTCAAAAACATGTTTAAGTTGTTTTACTGGATAGAGGGGATCATAATGAAGAAGTGGGCGTTGGTTTCTTTGGATTTCGACAAACGAGTAAAAAGTTGTAGACGTTTGAAACAGAGGGACTAGTCTGTAAAAGAAATACTACAAATAGGTCCCTAGACAGAAAATAAAAATAAAAAGAAAAACCTAAAGAACGAACGTTCACTACGGGAAGCTAAAGAACGAAAACCATTCGCTCCAGAACCTAAAATAGCAAGCGTTCACTAATTAATTTAACCTAGAAAAATAAACCGATCTAATAAGTAAAAACCAACCTAATAAATAAAACCGGTTAGGTTAACGGTTTTGCACCGGTTCAAGGAAATAAAACGACGGCGACGGTTTTGGATCGGCGGCTCCGGTGAGGGCGGCGTGCTCCGGCGCGGCGGGCAGCGGCGAGCGGAGGCTACGGCGGCACGGGCGGCGGGGTGGTGCGGCAGCAGCGAGCGGT